GTTTATTTAAAGTTCATTTATTGTTGTTTTCAAAGAGATTTATTTTTATCGTATATTAAAAATTTATAGCATTTTTTTTACAACTTTAAACAAGCTCATTCTTTGTTTTCCCTCTCCAAAATCCTAAATCACACCTAACTTAGTTCAAGTTTAGTTTTTAATTTTTTTCTCGGTGCCCAAAAATTTTTTGTTGGTAATCCAAACTCACACTCAAAACCGCTGCCTTTTTCCTTTCTCGCTGGCAAAGGGGAAACGGGAAATATAAATTGTCGGAGCCCGAAATTCTACACTGTCATCAAAGCGTAACTAAACGCCCATTTTTCTCAACTTTTTCGAGTTTCTTTCGTGGCCCGACGACCATTTTCGGTAGTTATTAGTGGCATATTTTGGCCTAAAGTGCGTGAACCATGTCGAACAGCCAACACACAGGCAACAAAATTTATTGTTTAGTAGTGGAGTGAAGTTAACAACAAAATGGACCTCCCAGCGAAAGAGAAAGACACGCAACGAGCCGATGGAATGGAGGTGCCCATGGAGTGGGAACTTAAAGCGGACCCAGCCTGGCCAGAAAAAAAAAGTATATATATATATATATTAACGCCTCGAGCGGTAAGAGAACCAACAGTTGGTTAGTGGTAACTGTTGTTTTTGTTGCCAGGTGAGAGGAACTGAACCTCTTACCTTATTGGCTGACGTCCACAGACCGACCACCATCATCGATGGCTGGCTGCCCCCTCTCCTACTGCCAATGATGATGATGATGATGATGATGGCGTTGATTATGGCTTATTTTCAAATCTCACCCATACCCAAGATCTCTGGCCTTTACTTGCCACTTCTTGGAAGTGAAAAAAGTGGGCAAGAGCAAATTATGTGGAGTCATCAATGGCAGGCCAAGGCATCAGAATCGTAGCATCAGTAGAGTGGGAGTGGAAGGCACGCAAACTCTAGATCTGGAGCTGGCCATTGCTGGTTGTTGGGCAATTTCCAGACTGCAGCTGAGAAGCCTGAATTATCTGTGGTTTAGATGGAAGATCGTGTGATCTGGGGGCTGATCTTGAATTAGTTCAGAGGTTTTTCGCCATAATTTACATGTTGGAGAGAAAGAAGATTGAAATAGTGTAAACTACTTATTTTTTTAAAAAATAAACTCTTTAAAATATAGAGCAATCAAAATCTTCAACAATTTTAAACCTTAATTCCTGAAAAGAACACAATCCATCCCCTAATGGTGTTGATCCTCCCTCTCTTCTAATAATAGATTATTTTGATCCTTGCTAAATATAAAAAAGAGATCACTCCTCCTGAAATTGACCAAAGATCTTTGTGTTGATCCTCTATGAAAACACTTGCAACCTTTTGCGCCGGGTTAATCTTCTCGCGTCATGCTCATTATGTCTCGATCAGTATCGATCTCTGGCCGATCATCTGGCCTGATCTATGCAGAGGATTTAAGCGTAAAATCGAGTGCAATAAAACATGCAGAAGACACACACACACACACACACACACACACAGCAAGTGCCCCGACTGTTTTCGATCAACAAAGACACGACACGCTCAGCTGAGGATCAGGAGAGGATGCGATCGCGAGCTGCCCATGATCGCTGCGATGATCACGGGACCTAGAGCCTGGTGCATGGAACCCCTCCTGTATTCCGTATCCCAAATTCCAAATCTAGAGTCCCTCGTCCCCGTTCGAAGCGTAGCATTTTTGCACGGCACATTAGCTGTTTGAAAAACAGGAGGCCCATAAACGGACAGTGTTGCAAATTTTTATTTGGAAGCAATTTTCACACCCTGCGAGGGACAAAAACGGTCACGGAAAAGTCATGCGGCGATCGCCGCTGACCTATGACCCCTGGCCAGTGGTCGTAGCTGCTGCTGCTGCTGATTCTACCAATTCTGCTGACAGGACACAGCGTGGCTAATTCGGAAACGCTTGACAACTACATAGCCAGAGAGAGAGAGGGCCTAGAGGAGTCCCGGCCCAGACGCAAAGTTGCAAATGATGCCAAATGATTGCCGACCATATAAATTCCGATTGTGAGCGATTAGCAGGGAAGTCGGGATCACGTCAGGATCCTGCCAGGTACTGGAACACGCCCTCCGCCTGCAGCGATTTAGACGCGCTTCATCGCCTGGCGATTATTTGCAATTATGAGCCGAGATTTTACACTTTTAGTGGCACAACTCCCCCTCCGACGCAAAAAAAAAAAAAGGGTGCAAAGAACCCAGGAACCAGTGCCTCCTCCTTCTCCTCCTCCTCCCAACAAAAGTTTGACTTTTCGACTTGTTTTCTAATCACCTGAGTCTGGGAAACTCCTTGAAAACCCCGGCTCCTTGTTGGTTGACCAAGCCGTTGGCCTTGGTAGCTATTCCAAGGACACGCACAGTTTGGCTAGAAAATATGTTGGTATTTCTTCAAGGCCGAGTCTCTCGGGGGTTTTGGTGGACTTCGGTTCGGTTTTGGTTTGTTTAGAATTGTTGTGGCGTTGTTTTACGCATAGATACGAGTATTATTTTGATGGATTAGCCATATCGCATCGAAGGTCGGCCCTCGGTTAGCCTCGAATTTGTTACGACCTGTTTTGTGGTGGCTAACCCAAAATACGAACCTGGCACTAACAGCGAGAGCAACAATTGGTATGAAAAATAGAGAAAATGGTTAAATTTGAAATAATTAGATGCAGAAAAGGGTAATAAGGATGATTTATTTTAACTGAAGTGCTAACTATTTTAGAAAGACTACATAAGAACCATAAATTCTGCCTGCAAGTAGGTTATAATGAACTTTGTTTTAAGAATATTTATAAAAATTATGAAACAAACGTAGAATGGAATAAAAATTTAAACATACATCACAATTATCTTAATAAAGAGTTTTATAAAATTGTAATTGAACATAAATACATATATTTTATATATATTTATATACATTTTATATACATTTTCTATACATTTTACAAACAACAATGACTACATTTCGTTTAGGATTTCCTTCAATTAAACCCTGATCTACATTGATCTTCATAATGACGAACGATGATTACTAATCATAAAGAAATTACCACCACTCTCGCTATCAGCCATTAGTTAATGAATAGACCCATCAGACTTTAGTAGGTCTGCCGATATTTTGGGTTATTTTTACAGCCTCGGGACCGGAGGAGATGAGCGTTCTACCTACAGCAACGAGAGAGAGGTTTCGATTTTATGATTTATTTACACTCCCAGCCTTCTGTTCTTACTCACTCGCCATGAATGTCTGGGAGTGCGTGTGTGTGTCTCATCATTTGGATTTTCCGCGGCAATAAAATTAATAAGAACGCGCTAATTTTTCAGGCCCCGGGGCCTAAGCAAACAAACACACAGGCAGAGTAGTTTCCTGCAACTCCTCCTTCGCCACCACCCATCCTTCCTTAGCCCAACTCTTTTCCAGGGCCCAGACTGTGCTAATATTTGCCAAGGGATTTTTGGAACGGAAAGAGTTCCGCCGTTCGCCATTTTGTTGGCTTGCAAAGCGATCTTCCTGTTTTTTGTTTATTTAGACTTGGACAACTATACTATATATATTTTTAAATCCAAATTAAACAGGATCTTAAGTTTCCTGTTTTTATTTATAAAAATAAAACAAACACAAATCCAGAAATAATGAATTAATATAATTTAATATTACTAATATTTAAATAAAATAAAACTTTAGGTTTTTTTAATTTAAACAGCTTATAAATGTCTAATGTCATTGAAAATGGCTGAAAGTTGGGTCGGAAAAGAGGTGTCTTCTCCAAGCTGCGGATCCAGGAAGGCCGGAAAGGTGGGGGATAAATACCTGCTCTTTTCGAGGCGCACACACGATGTCCAATTAGTGGCAGAAAAGGTAAGACATAAAGTCAGCTCCCAGTGCCACAGTGTGTGTGCGCACATTCAAGGGAGTGTGAGTGAGCTGACTGCATTCGAGCCAAGTATATAGGCAGCAGACTACTCCGAAAAATCTACTCCGAAAAGGCAGCAGAAAACTTGTTCTCAATAGAGGCATATAGTGCAGCAATATAGGAATTCCAAAGGAATGAAATAGAAGGGAATCAAGAAATATATTCTTATTTTATTTAAAAAATTTAATAAAAACGAAATTGTTAAGTTGTAAAATTAGTATACCAATTAATTTAATGCATTTTATTATAAATTTAAGATTATAAACTAAACAAAATAAAATATATAAATATTATATATTCCTTTTTTATTATGAAATCATTGTATAAAATATCTAAAATTTCTGTAGAATCCCAAATTAATAATTTATAAAAATAGTAATATAAAACTTAAAATAAATTACTATATTTTGACTACTAAAGAAGCTTAAAAACTTGTGCTTTTTAAACCTATACAACAATCCCTTTTAAAATATATACTTACAAGCTATTAACCATTCCCAACAACCAAAATTAAAGCTTGTAAACCTTTGTAAAGCGCCAACAGTAAGCGTGTCAAAACCTCCATGAAAACCAAGCCCATAAGTACCCTCAAAAATAGCATAAAAATTACCACAAATAAATATAATTAAGTGAAGTCAACAGACCAGCTATTACGAAATTTCGACCGATTGCGCAAATAATCCGGCAATACAATCATCGATTATTGCACCGAAAATGCCGAGCAGAGTTTTTCCATTTCCGCCATTTCTTATTGGGCGACGCTGGCTATATACCACACTCACACACACATATAAAAATAGAAGTGGAATACATATACGAGCGAAAGAGAGCACAAAGTCTGAGAAGAGACACGATCGATCGCGGCGAGAGAAGCGAGGCCAGATAGCGGCACTCTTCTGGCACATGGCGGGGAAGACTAGCTCCGGCATAGCTCCGCCCCACTCTAGCACACACATGCACGCAGCAGCGGCGATCGTGTGTCAACCGAAGGCTGACGAGGCGATCGGATCGGGGAATCGGGGATCTCGGGTCGCTGCTGACAAACGCAGAGTCGGACGAAAGAACGCACCGTGTGTTTCAGTTAAGCGTTGGCTCTGAACCCGGCAACAATCTTTTACTCCGTCGCGATCTGCCAATCTATACCGATCTCCATCTATCCGCAACTAGAGCGAGCTGTTCGGTTCAGTAAAATTATATTGCAAAGCGGAAAACTCACAAGTTCTTGTGTCCCATGATTGCCGTGTGATCCGATCGAGCCATCGAAATAAATCGCACAAATATGAGCAGCTATATCGGCAAACGCATGCTAATGATGATTATGCCTCATTTATAGTGCGCTAATTGAACGCGAAATTGCTCGATCAAAATCAATAATTCCCTAACCATTTGCAAACAAACACAACTCAAAGAAAATCAAATACGAAAAAGCAGAAGCAATACCCCAGAGTGCCAGTGTGAGAGTGTGTGTCGAATTTTATAATGGATATCAGCTATATCTTCGTGATCTGCCTGATGGCCCTGTGCAGCGGCGGCAGCGGCTTCAGCCCCGTCGAGGGCAAACAGAAATCCGGCAGAGGCCGGGGCTCCATGTGGTGGTAAGTCTCCCCCAGCCAAATATTTTCCATTAAACGCTCAATTGCAGTGGCCAATTAGCGGGTGGGCGACAATAAAAACAGTAAACAGTAACAAGAAAAAAAATATATATTAAAGCCAGACAACATTTGGCCAGAAGCCAAAGAACAACAACAAGGCACGCGCCGAAAAGTTTTGGGGAAACATTTCCCACAGCCGCAAACACATCATAAAAGCAAACACAAAATAAGTTAAAGGTCTTGTGCGTCACGCACCAAATGCGGAAGCCACACAAAATGCACACACTAAAAAATAAAAAAGTCTGAAAATAAAATAAAGCCCGGTCTGCTCTCAAACTTCTTCGCATCTTCTTTCGCTTCGCCTGATGAAAGCAATTAAAAATTCTAAGCGCGCATTCAACTTTTACTTGGGATAAAAACTTTGTCGGTATGCGTGACACACTTTGAGATATGAATGGAGTTTTTGGGTGAATGGATATGAGGGGGGGTAATAAAGTCACTAGGAGAGGGGTTTGCCGGTGATAGGAAAGTCCAGTTTTTGGGATCTACCGCAGATTTGGGGGAGAAACACTTCTAGTAGCAGCTGCAGGCAATTCGAGTTCGTTGCCTAAGTCTTTTGTTTGAGCAAATGAAAGATTTTTTTTTTTTTTTAATTATGGAAAAATATATAAAATCTTATTAAGGAATATGTATATTATATAAAACTATGAAATTGTCAGAAATACAACACTGAAATAAAGCGGAATAAGTAATTATAAAAAAATTAAAGGGAGTGTTTAAGTTGACTTTCCTGTTTGATCTTAATTCCAAGTTTATAAAAAAATTTCAAAATAATTTAAAAATTTAAAGTAGACCAGTTCAAACAAACTATTTTGTTAAAATAAAACCCTTACTGATGCTGAATTTAATTTCTCAAATTCCTATGCTATGAACTTTAATCAAATTTCAAACATAAACATAAAATTTTAAGGCCAAATATTTGACAACTAACTGGTATTTTTTGTTATTACTATTATTAACCCAGAGCTCCCAGTGGGATTCTGTGGCTTTGATGAGTTGTTTGTTTGACTTTTATCATGTGCAAAACTTCAGCCTAAGCCTTAATAACTTTTTATAACGGCATAAATTTCAGTCGCAACAATAAAAAATCAACACAAATACATAAAAACACAAAGGCAGGCACACACACGAACATACCTACCGATCGACACAAATTGCTGCCGCGACTCCGGATTGCCGTCGCATAAATCTCAGTTGGGGCATCGATTTAATCCGCCTGGGAATTAAAATCGATTGCCAATCGCCGCCCCGCGTAAACCCCCGGTTCTCTTGATTTTGGCAGATGTTACACATTCAATCAAGTTTTTGTTACTTATTTTTTATTAAAAATTTTTGTTGCATTGCGCAATTGTCTCGGGGGGAATGTGTTCTGTTCCCACCGCAATCAGCATTCAATTGAATTGGCAATTAATTTGCATTCTCCCAGAGGCCTGTCAATAAACATTTGTTTGTGTTTATTTATGGTTTTTGTTATATATATGCTTAAATAAATATATAGGCTAATGAAGCGTGGAAAAATTATTATAAATATCAACAGTTGAAACAAGAAAATAAATTATGACAGGTCAGAGCCGGGCAAAGCGTTAGCCGACAGGTGTCTGCAAATATTTGTCTATCTCCATGTGAGTGTACTTAATAAGTGTATGTGGTTTATGCCTGAGTAACGCCGGCAATTGACGTGTACCGCCCAACAACAACAACCACAGTAAATGTTGGAAAATATTATGGACAACACAGAAAAACCGCAAAATGGAAAACCTACAAAAAATAATACACACACACACACACCGAAAGCCGAAAGAAAAACAACTCGGTCTCAAGTCAAGTGGAAAGACACACAAAACCCTAGAAAATATCACAAAAAAAAAAAAACTAAGAAAACAAAGTATTGTAGATGTAATGAAAATGTTTCAGCTGGTGTCTCATAATTAGGCGCAAAAACCCAGTCAGGCATTAAATAGCTATGACATCCCATCCCGTCAAAGATTGCCCTATTAACTTTCGGTTTTTCTGGTTCGTTTTCTTTCAGGGGCATTGCCAAGGTCGGCGAACCCAACAATATAACGCCCATCATGTACATGGATCCGGCCATCCACTCCACGCTGAGGAGAAAACAGCGTCGCTTGGTCCGGGATAATCCTGGTGTATTGGGAGCCTTGGTCAAGGGCGCCAATCTGGCCATAAGCGAGTGCCAGCATCAGTTCCGGAATCGTCGCTGGAACTGCTCCACGAGAAACTTTTCGCGAGGCAAAAATCTATTTGGAAAAATTGTGGATCGAGGTGAGTTGAAGAAGCCCAAGAAAATATTTAGAAAAGGTTTTTAGTAGCTAAATAAATTAAATCCCAATAATTAGTTCTGGGAGCAATCCACTTAAAACTCCACTCTTTACGGTGGGAAATATGATCTGCCCATCAATGGTTGTCAACGCCTTCGTTTTTCCCATTTACTAACTACTAGAAACTACACAAATTGCTTGCATAACCAACCAACATGAATCCAGTTTCTTTTCCCTTCGGTTTCCACTTTATTTATGTTATGAAATGTCACTCCCCTGGACCTCTTTCGTACTGCACAATATGTGTGTGGCGCTTGTTTGTTATTGTAATACGATCTGAGCACTTGGTAATATGTATATATATTTTATACATGTAGGCTGGCTGGCCTACCCTTTCGAAGGGGCCACTTTCCCCGCTCCGGCGAACAAAGAGCTGGCTCTGTCCTCGGCTGCACTTGCTCCACTTGCGTTTCAGCGTGTTTATGCTAATGAGCACAAGTTGGCAGCACCAGGAGTGACTCTGTACAGGACAGGACCGACTGTTGTCACTCACTCACTCAGCCATTCAAATCAATCAAGCCCAGTTGTCTGTCTTCTGGGACCATTCGGTCGTTCGTTCGTTCGTTCGCCTGCTGAGCCAGCGAAAATCCCTGGAGAATGGGAATAGGAACCAGCAGTTTCTCTCTTATATAAATGTAAACAAAAGTCGCGCATGCGCAGTTTTTGTCCTGGCGCGTTTTTAGCTGGAAATCTATTCGGTGCATTCGACTCCCGCCCTCGCCTGCCGTTTTATTAGCTACCGTTTTTGTCCTGCATCCTGAGATCCTGCCAGGTAGTAGCTATATCTATACTCGTATATATATTTGAGGAGGCGTGGCTGGCGTCGCGTGGCTTCGAGGCCTTTGCCTCTCCTGCAACCGTCTGTCAACGGCAGCTGACTTTTATAGCCAGGCTCTTGACCTTATCAAGTTATTTTGACTCTGCTCCGCCAACATCCTTTTTATGAGCTCTTGACATTTTATGGATTACTTAAAAAGAAAAGGGAAATTATTGCCCCGGTGACAGCTTTTTATCGCAGCACTTTCATCGCTTTCCACAATCAAATTTTTTTAATGCTTTTTTTTCTCCCTTTTTCGCCCTTGGCCCTAATTAACACCTAGAGAGCGCACCATTAACACTTGGGGTTCGGGGTTCCAAGTGACTCTAAAACTGCCCAAGAACCCTGCCAGCGGGGCATAATTCATCGCCTGTCTGGGCTGCCTTTCATTTGTATTTCCTTGGGCCCGGGTTAGGCTTCCCTAACTTGTTTTCTAATTGGTGACACCTTGTCAATTTGCCACGCCACACGCTTTAACAGGCTGTCTCTATTAGTGAATTCTCGTTGGGTTTCTGGCAGGGATCTTCTTCTCCTTTACTTTTTTTTTGGCAATCATCGGTTCGTGACGAAGCCGCTCCGGGTGGCTGTCGTCCCTGTGGGTTTTATATCAAGAGGTCTAAACTATTCCGGGAACTGCTGCTTCTGCTGTGCTGTCACTAAGCAGCTTAGTCCCTTTTTCAGGATCCTGATCCTGCGCTGATCCTGCTTCTGATTCTCCTCCCCTGATCTCAATTTCAATCAGTTCGAGCCACGCCCACACACAACGGAAATCCGTTTTTGGGCAATTATAGCAAGCCATATAAAAAAAGGGAAGGTATCGCATTACATGCGGAAATTTTTATTTTACTTTCCTCGTTGCTCCATTTTGGCCACACCCCGCTCATTTGGCATTTCTTTGCTTAATTGCTCAGGGTGCACCAGCCCCGCTCGGTCTTGTTTATTGCCTTTGTTCGCTATTTACTTGAAGAAACCACAAGAGCAGAGTACGGTACGAAATGCAAACACCAAATTGCCCCCAAAAAGGTAACGCGAATTCTTGCTAAGCTAATCACCAGAAGAAAAAAATAACAGAGTCACCAATATATGATGACTGTGTCACGCCTCTGACGAAAAGTGGGAGAGAAAAAAAGTAAATTCCCAAAGCGTTTGCGCATGCGCCGCCGCCTTATCGCGGCCCAAACATCTTGCACATATTTACACACAATTTACCTGTGTGTGCGCCTTAAATTTCGTTACATACGTGAAATTATTTAAGGAAAAACGAAACCACCAACAGCAAACAAACAAACATTAACCGGGAATTGAAAAAAAAGAAAAGAGAAAAAAAATACGAAAGAAACAAATCATTTCTTGGTCGAATTCCAGGAAATCGAAATCAAAAGCGGCAAAATTTTTTAACACCAAGCGGAAGTTGTTGATTCGTTGATATTAGAGCAAGCGAGAATGTGTCAATCGTCAAGTGGGAGACTAGTCAATCATAGATACATCAATCAGCAGTTGTACAAAAATAAAAATAAGAGACAGATACAGAAGGCAGTTTTCTAACAATAGTTTTGGTTTTTTTAAGATTCTATAAATGAAATAATAATATTATAAGAATCCTTTTATTTATTAAGATATAATAAAGACACTGTTAAATCTTTATAAAAAATATAACTTCATCTCAAGTACTTTACACTTTACTTTGAAACTCAACCCAAAAATACCAAACAAGGTTGACAGTCCATCCCATTCCCAGTGAGTCGCTTACTCATACCAAATACCCCAGAATTTCTAGCTACCTGACCGGAGACATGACCATCCCTATATATATATATCATATCTTGTGAGCTATGAACTGAGGCGAAACCACTTGAAAAATTATCTGCAACATGTAAATTCAATTTTCATTGTTCTTTATCTGCGATGGTCTTGCTCTCCGAACAGAAACCGAAACAGAAACGGAGGCAGTTACTAAAAATATACAGAAAATAAAAATAATAATAAAAGGAGGAAACTGTCCACTCGAATGGACTCTCCGCCAAGATGGGCCCCCAAAGTGTTAAGTTGGAATTTATAGTTGAGCGTTTAATCTGTGTCAGGTTTTTGGTGCGCTCATCTCTTTTCCTTGGTGGCCCTGTGGCATTGATAACTTGAAGTGTCATAATTGACCAGACTTTGGAAGACAAGTGCCATTACTCATAACGAAAAAAAAAATAAATAATTTCAACTCTTGCCCACGTCTCTGGTCATCACTTGACTTGGCCGAGATTGAGATCTTGTCTTGGTAAGGCCGGCGGTGCCAAGTGGAACACCCAGAAGGCGAAAAAATAATGACTCCACAGTGAATAAAGTTTGTAATGATAAGGGATAAACCATTAAAAATGTATACATTTCTGATTTAAATGCTTAAATATTTTAAAAATATTTTTAAAGTTTAAGTTTTTATATTTTTAAAATTTAACTAAACCAAATTTATTGTTCTTTCCTTTCAGGCTGCCGCGAGACCAGCTTCATCTATGCCATCACCAGTGCAGCGGTGACCCACTCGATTGCCAGGGCCTGCAGCGAGGGTACCATTGAGTCCTGCACCTGCGACTATAGCCACCAGTCACGATCCCCGCAAGCCAACCATCAGGCGGGCAGTGTGGCTGGCGTACGGGACTGGGAATGGGGCGGCTGCTCCGACAACATTGGATTTGGATTCAAGTTCTCCCGGGAATTCGTTGATACTGGCGAGCGGGGTCGCAATCTGCGCGAAAAGATGAATCTGCACAACAATGAAGCGGGAAGAGCGGTAAGTTGAGCTTTAGAAAATAGAAAATAAATGGGATATATAGATTTTGTGAAAATTATTGTAAAAAAGATCATATTAACCCTTTTTTTTTGCTGTGTTTTTCGTAATAAGTAGTCCTAATGTTCGGTTTAAGCCTGGCTGGGCGATTTACGGCTGGAGCGCTAATAAAAACCAGCGACGACAATTTCCGTCCCAACAATTAATTGCCAACGAACGCCAATTGGCCCAGCTAGTTGGGAGATAAGCTCTCCTCCCCCCTGGTTGTCTCTTTCTCTTGAGAATGTGGGGGGGGGGACTTTTCTGCACTCGTTTGCGCTTGTGTCGCTCGTATATTAACCCGTTGACAGCTTCCAGTTCCCCTCCACATGCAAGAAAATAGTAGGATTTTAGTTTAGTTTTTGGGGGCAGCAAAACAGTGGTTGAAATATCGAAAAAAAAATCGAAGGGAAATCGATAAGTGAAAAAAATGATATTTAATTGGTTAGAAATTATAGATAATAAGTTTTTCAATTTTAACATGTTGTACATCAGTACAACCTCTTCTCCCTGTTTTTTTTCTATTCTATAAGAGAGTTAACTTTATCGATTTTATTATCGATTTCTCAAGCTAATTTATTTAAAGCTTAAAATTTTAATACCACTGTGCAGCTCCACTCCTGCTGTCCGTTTTAGTGGGGCGTAGAAAGTAGCACACTGCGCCAGCATCCACCTAGAGCCGATCCCACCGATCCGATCGATCGATCCCACCGGATCCGGGGGCCTAGTCCTCGCGGCCTCCTTCCACCACCTTCAGAGTGCAGGGCCCACCATCTGTGTTATTATTTTATTACTTGTTATGGGCCGCAGCTCCATAATCGTTGCGATCATTGCGGCCCGATGATGATGATCATCGGCTGCTGTGGCTGAAGGCCCCCCAACTGCGTTGATTTCTTACTTTTGGTCCGGCGCACAACAATTACAAGCGGCAAGCTCAAGGGTGAGGGGTGATGGGGGGACCTGCAACAAGCGCACAGCAAGTTGCAACAACATTTATTGATTTTTAATAACTGCAACAACGTGGCAGGCGGGCCGCCAATCTCCCAGCCAGCAAAAAAAACAACCGGGGAAAAAACAGCAAAATAATTAAGTGAAAAACATATTGCGAGGCGAGTCGATTCGCAAGGAGCCTAATAAAGTCATACTAATGAACAATCTCTTCTTTTTCTTCTTGCAGCACGTCCAGGCTGAGATGCGTCAGGAGTGCAAATGCCACGGCATGTCCGGCTCTTGTACGGTGAAAACCTGCTGGATGCGACTGGCCAACTTCCGGGTGATCGGTGACAATCTCAAGGCCCGCTTCGATGGGGCCACCCGCGTCCAAGTTAGCAACAGCCTGCGAGCCAGCAATGTCCTGCCTGGCCTCAGTCCGAATGCCGCCGGTTCCAGTTCCGTGGGCTCCAATGGCCTGATCTTACCCCAGTCGGTGGTCTATGGCGAGGAGGAGGAGCGCATGCTCAACGATCACATGCCGGACATGCTGCTGGAGAACAGTCATCCGAACAACAAGATTCATCATCCAAACATGCCATCGCCAAACAGTCTGCCGCAGGGCGGTCAGAGGGCCAGAAATGGACGACGACAGGGTCGCAAGCATAATAGGTAAGGATTCAAAAGATTTTAGATATTGGAAAGATATTATTGAACTTACAACGAACTAAAATATATATTTTTAAGAGCATTTAAATCATTTTACTTATAAATTTCCCTTTATTTCCTTTCTTCACCAGATATCACTTCCAACTGAATCCCCACAATCCCGAACACAAGCCACCTGGCTCCAAGGACCTGGTCTACCTGGAGCCCTCGCCCAGCTTCTGCGAGAAGAATCTGCGACACGGCATCCTGGGCACCCATGGCCGGCAGTGCAACGAGACCTCCTTGGGCGTCGATGGCTGCGGCCTCATGTGCTGCGGGCGTGGCTATCGGCGGGACGAGGTGGTGGTGGTGGAGCGTTGCGCCTGCACCTTCCACTGGTGCTGCGAGGTCAAGTGCAAGCTGTGTCGAACCAAGAAGGTCATCTACACGTGTCTATAAGGAGACCCTCCCTCAGCCTATGTATTGCCTTTCCCCGCCCCCCACACTTCCCTGTATGTGTTATGTATTTTGTCTACGCTTAGCCTTTGTTATTAGCACCTTAAGAGCCTAGACTATAGCCTAGTTAAAGAATACGACTACCAACCCGAGAACCCTTCTAAATCCTTTCTTAAGCTCCCTCACTTTTTTTTAGCAGTATTACAGAAGGAATATTAATGAATAGATTTCATGAAGAAGAATACAACTTGTGTTTGCCCAGTTTTTAGTCATGTAAGCCACGCGCCCTCCAACGATACAAAATATTTTGTAAATTACAAAGCCCCCGCCTCCGTTTTTTGTATCCCTAGACTAAGGTTTAGTTGTAGTTTAGCTTAGAGATTTCTTAGCGCGTCCCCTGCCTTCTGTCGTTCTAAAATATCCTCTTTTTTAATCATCGAAAAACAAGACTGAAAAAATTCAAATAGCGCGCAGCTTCTTCTCTGTCCTTTCCTTGAGCTGCTTCCATAAAGCTTTGGTCAGGACCAAAGCGTATGTGAAGGAGTATCCTTTGAGAATAGAAACTCCCAGGAAAACAATTGGAATGTGGTTGAGAAAATTCCATCAAATGTTTTCCAAGCTTAATAACTAAAACCCTACGCCTTTGTGTACATAAATAAGTTAAAATTTACTATTAGTTTTAGGCTAAAATCATTTTACTAACGCGAAACATAATTGTTGCTTGGAATTTATGAAATTTTTGCAGAAAAATCGTATGAAATATTATTTTTTTGAAAACGCATTTAATTTAAAACCCCACGGTTGTGCGTTCTCCCCCCGCCCCCTTGTAGGTATTACTAATTAATTAAATAAACTTAGCTGGCTAGTTAAACGATACGTCTAGGCCTAAGTTTATACATATAGTAAAGCTCGATATGAATATAATATTTAATTAATTTATACTAGCTCATAGACATTCAATTTTGTAAAGTATTAATGCGAAGGAGAACAACAAACGAAAAAAGCGGAGCAGAAAAATGCTAATGCTATCGAAAACAAATCAATAAAAAACAGAAAACGAGTAAAAAAATTACAAAAAAACAAATAAAAGCAAATGGAATTTATTTCGTGTGTATGGCGGAGGGGCAATTATTTGCTGCAATTAGCCGGGGGGGGAGGAGAAGGGTACCTGCAGGTCAGGGTCGATCCGACGACAATCTGCTCTGAGGCATTTCAATATTTGATTTAAGGCAGCGCTCAGTGGCAGTTTCCCAAGCGCATTTTTTGCTCTTACAGCCAACTGTCAACCTGGGAGAGAGAGAGCCAGCGAGCCAGCGAGCAGAAACAACTGCTGGAACAAGCGGCGACAGTTGCATCTTTTGTATATCGTCGGCACAAAAGTCAGTGGATAAACCCCACAAGATCCCTCTCGCCCCCCTGGAGCCCGTTCCAGCTGACAATGCGAACGACAATTCCGCGCTGTCAGCGGCAAGCCATCGAATGTGGCTTTCAAGTTTTAGCGACTCAGGATTGAGGATGTGGCCATGGCTGTGGCTGTGGCTGAGGCTGGACGATCGCGACATGCAATTGCCGGACCAACTATGCAACCTGACATCCGACAGATCTAGACGAGTGCCGGAGGGCAAGATAAACCAAAGCCAAAGCCTGGATGAGGCTTACATTGATCCTGATTTCAGCTACTGATCGCAGCAGATGAAGATGGAGAGCCGGAGACTAGGCTAAGCACAACAAAAAGTGATCGTGCTACATGTGTCCACAGTGCTTGACAGTTTTGTTTCGCCTTTTTTTAAGGTGCTGCTTTTTTTTTAATTACGGGTGGGAAAACAATTTTTCCGTTCAGGAAACAAAGTTTCAGAATTCCAGAGAGATGTTTGATTAACTGGTGAGTGTTCCCAGGACCTTGGACTGAGAGGAAGAGTCAAGGATATCTACAAGATACTAATTGAATATAGATAATAATAAAAAATATTATTAAGCCTTTATAGGAGTTCTAAATTCTCTTAAACTAAATTTATTCAGAATTAATTCATAACTATTATCACTTTAAACAAATTCTTAGAAACACTTTAACTTAGAAACTGGCCAAGTCATCTTATAAATTATTCAACTTAACACAGTTCAAAGCTATCTACAATTAAATATCACCTCAGAGAATTCTCTGTACATCCTCCTCTTTGGGTTTCATACCCCAACTCATCCTGATTTCCCCTATTATGTCACTTGTAATTAGAGAAAAGCTTCCAAATGCTTAGCAAATGATTCACAATCTATTGGCCTCAATGCCTCATAGGAGACTCATAACATAAATGACAGTAAGGTGGCACTGGAAAAAATAATAACTAATTATAAATATATATTATTTGAATTAAATGAACACCAAATATGTAAAGAATACCAGTGAATACACTTTATACATTAAATATAAATTCATTCTTTTTTTAAAAAATACGTTTGTATATTTACCATTTTTCCCCTCAGTGTCTGTGGACTTTGGCCAACCTATTGGGTCTATTGGCATTATTGGGCATCGCATCTCATAACCCCGAGGGGCACATAGTACGCCTAGTTGGAGTGTGACGTGCCATTGTTGTTATTTAGTTGGCACGCCGAGGCGACAATTGTCGTCTCCAATGAGTCGTTGTCTCTTGGTCTGATGTCGCTGTCTGGCCCAAAGAGACACTGCCTCCTAATCAATAAAACTAACGAGCGGATTAAGATTATGTTGGCATGGTAGTCTTGCCTCTTGCCTCTTGGCTTTTGCAGTTCGAGTTGCCTTTTTGCCGCTTCCACTGAGGCGAGAGACCAAAAGCGGCGCACGCTCATCCCAAAAATGGTCAGGCGGCCTAATGAATTGCAAGTCGCCAGCGTTGTCCACTATAAACAGCCTGTCCAGCATACGAAATCAAAAAAAAAAAAAGAAGAGGGAAGAAAGTTGAGGATTTAAAACCGATTATTAAAATACCCTGGAATATTAAAAATATTTAATATGTGCAAATATATGTGAAATTTCATGGGAAGGATGTGCGTTTTTTGAAAATGTATTACATATTTCAATGCTTGGTAAAATTTTAATGTAATATTACGTTTTAATTTTATATTCCATTAAAGTGGGAGTACTTTTAGACGCTTCTCCAATTGATTTTAAATCCTAAAAAAACTATATAAACTAATTAGAAATTTAGAAGAGCATTTCCTACCTTTAAAGCAAAAAGGTTATACCCCTCTGAAAGTTCACAGCAATAAGAAATAAAGAAAGAAAAAAAGAAAAATAATATATAAAAAAAAAACAGGGCACAAAAAGCGGATCGGGATCCCCATGTTGGTCGTCTTCCTCCGCTCGGTCGTCAATCGGTCGCTGGTTCGATCAGCGGATCGATGGGTTTGCTGCTCGCTGGCTCTCTGGTTCTCCGGTTCGATGGATCGATGGATGTGACAATGACAGTTGTTGTTCGTCATGTTTGGAGCATGTATTGCCTGCCTCCCTTACCCGCATCCTCCCATTCGCTGGCCGTGCTCCTCTTTTGTGTTGTAATTGCAGACGCCACACGTTTCGCGCGCTGTTTGATTTGGAAATTGCAACAGATCGGCTCGGAATGGGCAATATATCGCGCTGGGGGCACATCTCATTGACTTGGCATTCCCGGCACGCGTACTTCTTGGCATGACAAGACTTTCAAGCCTCCCCTTCGTTGCCCCTTTCCCAGCTTATACCCACGTTTTGGCCCTTTTGGCTCACAATGAAAATTTTCGACACAAGTCAGCGGCACAAGTGAGTGTAAGCGTTAATTAAGTGGCAATTGTTGGTGAGGCGTGAGAATTTGGCGGATTAGGTAAAGAAATGTAAGGTGACCCAAGGCAGACTCCAGGGGGGTTCCCACCTTTCTTGGGGTAAAGGTTTTTCAAAAAGGAGTTACAATGTTGCGGTTATTAAGACAAGAAAATAAGCCTTAAAGGACTTCTAATTTGAGAACGTAATGCGAGCTGTAAGTATTTTGTTGAAGCATAAATTAAGACTCTCGGGGAGAATAGAATAACACTTTTTGAAAATGTAAAGATATAATTGGTGTTTTGTTTATAAATTTAATCATTAAAGAAAGCGTTTACCGAGAGTATTGGCATCCAGAATTTACTATTAATCCCTCCCTTATCCAAACACTATTCCCTGATAATATTTTTGGCAACCCAAAGCCCTCACCTTATCATTACCTTTACCTTATAATTTCAATGCCCTAACCAGGACAAATGCATTGGCCTAGTGCCTATGGCTATCAATCATCGGGCCGTAGCCTGTTAACATGGGCGACTAGTTCTGCGATTGCCTCTACCAGGAAGCAATGACCAAGCATCGAGTGTCGAGATCAGACCACCAGAGGAGCAAACTGCTGGCAACTGGAAATGCCCTCAGAGACCGACTAGACCGGAGACGCTTTGGACCCGGACTCCCGACTCTCGACTCCCGACCATGTAATTAACAGCACGCAAAAAGTGTTTGCGAAGCGTTTATGGAATGGGTTCGCGTTGGGATGCAGCGCTGAATGCAGGCAGAGCTATTGGATATGGGATATGGGTGTCCCATTCGCTGGAGGCGACACGCATGTAAACATTGCCATTTTTGGCTAAAGACGCGACAGCTGCTCTGGACATTGGGACTGGGACTGGGACTTAAACTCTCAGCCATTCTGCGATGTTGTACACCGGGGGAAATATTTAGTTTTATGTTGAAGGATATAAACTCTTTCAAAATAAACTTTTCTAAGAAAAATATATATTTTATGCTTTGAAAGTTATTTAATATTCAAATAATATTGCAATATTTTCAATGTTTTAATTTCCTTTTTATAAAAGTATTTTTTATGATTATTATAAGTCTACAGTTTTTTATTTGTAAGAATTTCGCGTATAAATGTTATATACTTAATCTAAATCTTATATAGTATTTATTTTTTTCTGTGCACTCGCTTCCATTCCAAGTTGGGTGGCCAACTTTGCAAAGACGATCGAACGATCGTAATTGAGTTACAAAAAGGTCAATCGAACCACCAGAGCGATGTGGAGTGTCAGTGTTCGACTTTAATTTATTTTATAATTACACGCACTTTATGCCTAATTAGTTTGGTTTTTTTTGTTTTTGTTTTTTACTGCGTCTTTCCCCGTCTCCCCAAGAGGGATGCCTGTCTGCCGGATCGGGGCCACAAAAAAGTTTCCCATCATTTGGCTTCCATTATGCAGCGTTCGCGGCCACCGAATTCCAAAGGTGCGCGCGAATGGGCGTCAGGTTTGCACAAACACACACTCACATGCACACAAACACACACACACACACACATGTGTCCATAAGAAAATAAAGCCCGAACAAAGGGGGACGGCCAGGTTGGGGGGAGGTGAGTGGCGGGGTGCGCCTGGGTGCCCACTACAATTCCCAGTCAACGGATGCGAGCTTTCCGCCGACCTCGTCCCGGGCCGAGGCTCATTCAGTCTAAAGGTCTACACTGGGGAAAATAATTAGAAATAATTCAGGGGAAAAATATAAAATCTAGGGATTTTTTATACATTTTAAGCTCTGGATTTGAAAATACAATAGCATCATTTTTATTTAATATTTAGTTTAAATATTGTATTTTACCTTCATTTTTTGAAGGACATCCTCTGAAATTAAATGTGAATTTTATTACAATAATTTAATAATTTCTTACAGTGCACTCTTGGAGTAAGAAACGTGGCGAGAGGCAGCCTGAGGAAGAGAATCACCGACTGAAGCGGTGATCATCGCATCGGGGCGCTTTTGTGGCCGTCTTCATCGACATCAACGCACTCCTTTGTTTGCCCGGACCCTTTAGCCAAGACCCTTGTGCCCACCCGATCCCATCCGATCCGATCCGAGATCCGAAAAGAGAGTGAGTTGGTGCGCCAACTTTGTTTAACTTTGCCCCGGCTTATTGTTTGCTGTTCTTTTTCCTCATTGCCAGCCCTCAGTGGTTCCTGTTGGTTTTTGTGTGTGGATGCCCTTGCCGAAAATTAAAGAGGAAGCCCTCGGGCATGTGGATTTTGTAGAGGC